AGCTGGTAACAGAGACGTCTCGGTTGACGTTTCTGTGTAGTATGGGGCTAGCCCAACCGAGGGGATATAATGTATAGGCCTGGTGGGTTCAGGGTCTTTCATCTTACATCTGCCTGCGTGCAGTTTGGAGGTGCAAGATATCTGAGCGTGTAATGTTAATTTTACCTGTGTTCATGGAAAAAATCAGCACTGTTTTGAAGTTACTTGGACTGCCTCGTCTCTCAGAGTTAGCAATGGTAACAAGAACCAAAGATCAACACTACATTAAAATCCCATAAAGCTTTCACAGAGAACCCAGAAAGATGAAATAATGAGTGGCTTAGTCATCATCTGGGAGACCAGAAGCCCACTGGTACACAAATCTACTGTCGAAAGTATTTTAGAGCACATCAAAAGGCAATTATGGACATAACATATAAAACAACACTAATGACATTTGAAATTAGAAGAAATCACAACGCACAGTTTCAAAGGAAAGTCTCTGAAATAGTGTATGTACAGTGACAAGTGATGGGATTTGTTTGATTTTACAAGTGTGAGCATCCCGGTGTGTCTGCATTTACATTCTTTCAATCTCATCCATCTTTAGATTAACAGTAAACTAAAACCGTGTCAAACATACTGCACAGTAGTTTGTAAGAAGGAGAACGCCACCAATTTAAAGAATAATTGAAAAGTACAAATGTTCTAAAACTGTTGTAGTTGAGCCAGAAGTCTCTTCCTTTGACTAGGGTCCGATAGCCAGTTCTGTCTGGATCCAGGTAAAAGTGGGAGAAATATCGGGGCTCACTGAGCTTCGTATCCAAACGGATCCTTTATAGAACCTGTCATTCGTGTTCTCGGTTTAGTTTACACTCTTTGGCGTCTCTGATAATACAGGCGTCACCAAGAAGAAAAAAACCTTTTACAAACTTGGCGAGACTGTTGTATAGATACAAATGACTGTTTTCTGTCCTGCCACTGCAGTGGTTAAGGAAAGACTGCGGTCATGGTTAAAACAATGGCTAAAAAATGTCCTTGTTAGCTAAACGTTGTTTGTTGGTTGGACATGTTGATGCCTATTTTCCACTATGAAATTTTGTCACCACTGAAATTCACTGTAACTGAACTGAATTCACCTCAGCTATCATCCTCCATGAACTAAAAAACAACACAGCCCATATTTGAAGTTTACAGGGTGTGATTTTGGTTCTTAAGAGAGACTGTTGAGCACCACTTTGAGCTGTAATAATTGCAGCAGTATGACTTACGTCCATATTGTGCACTTCTGACAGAGAAATAAAGAGAAACGAAAGAGGAGAGTGGGGATAGAGGCTCCTGCTGTCATGCTAGCTGCAGGGCGAGCACTCTGTCCAGTATGACAAGCAGCGAGTGTATTGGAGCCGTTGATGGCTAGTGATGTATCTAGATCAGGCACTCATGTTGTGCTAATCCCAATGAGGCCCAGATGGTAAAATGCCACGCTCTGCTGTCTCACTGTCAGAGCTTCACTGACCAGCCCTTCCCAGGCTTTGAGACTTTAAATAAATGATAACAAGCAATGGAATTGTGCCCAATTATATTGGAGCTGTTTTGGGACTGGCAGAAAGTCTGAGAGAGTGTGTAGGAGTGGGCAGTGGGCAACTTCACATGCCAAATGGGATAAATGTCCAATAAAAAGCAATACTGTACGTGATTGGCTCTTAGAGGAATATGAGTGGAGACGGGGGTTGTGATGAAGTGAAGGAAATGGGTCTAATTAGTCTATGAAAGCATGCAACTGTATGTGTTTGCAAACAGAAGAGCACGCACTTAAAATACACAGTAACCGTCCTCTGACTTGTGCGTGCCCGTGGGCTTCCAACTGGCCCTGATATGGATGGGCAACTTTTCAAAAAGCCCTTTCCACCGCGGGCAACCTCGGAAAAACCAGGCTGTCCAAGCAAAGTACCTTGTCGTTCAAACATTTATGAGTGGTCCCTCCCTGAAATCAGAACTCTATTTAAAATCCCAGCAGCATTACATTACAGGTGCAACACAACAAGAGGGTGAGGGAACTGTCAGTTTATACACACCCACACAGATATACAGAAAGCTTGGAGTGGGGGAACCCCCAGAGAAACCTGAAATTGTCCATCAACTCTGTACCAGTCCTCAATTAACATTTTAATACTAACACTAATTATATACAAATTATGCTAAGCATAAAAAACTGCAGTTCTTTTTACTGTACAACAAAGAGCCATCAGTGTTTTCTTCAACAGTTTTCCACCATCCAGCTTGGCTCCTGTGGGACTGGAGGCATTAACCCTGCAGCGCTGGCGCCAGCCTCAGCTCACACAGCTCTGCAGGAGAAGAAAATAGAAACAAACTCTTCTCAGCAAGAAAAACCTCCTCAGGTTCTTGCTCCTTAAAGGCAGAAAGTTCCAGATTGCAGCGTGGGTGGCCACTCCCTTTGCGTCACCTCATCAATGTCCACAAGTGTGCCATTTAGACCTCCTGCCAGTGTGCAGATGTGCTTACAGTTAGTGCATTAGCAGGTGTCTGAGGAGCTACAAAGCTGGTAAACAGGCCCCTTGTGTGAACAAAAAGCACAGTAACGAACAGCACAAGCCCATCCTGCTGGGAGGATAACATCAGATCAATAAGGTCAACTGTGTCTGAAGAAACCTGAGCTGATCTGATCAATCAACACGCTCTTAACTCTCAACGATTTTCTCAGTGTGTCTGTGCATGTAAAGGGATGCACATCCAGTAACGAACTAAAGGAATCTGACTTTACTGAGAGAAGGTCACGACATCAGCACTCCATGGAAATTTTACAGGAGACAAATGGCTGATAATTGAAACGGCTTTCTGCAGCATGGCTGTGGGAGCTACGTTTTCAACAACAGTACTGATTCAGCTGTCACTATCTCTTTCTACATCCTGGACATTAGCCCTCTACTGCATCAATAAGTGCTTAAAGCTTCACTGTAAATTCAGCTTTGTGGCACCATAACATTCTCATTCAGTTCTGACTATAACATTTCTTAAGTTGAACCAGGTCCAGTTTTTACTGTGAGATAACCCAGCATCATGCAGCAAGGAGCTGTGTTGGCCAAATACATTCTAGTGCACCTTCCTGGTGGATTACCTTGTAACATATTTCTTCTGCTGTTATCATGATTGTCACATTTACAAATAAAATATCTGCCACAGTTATAAATGTCTTGAGTTATAAGAGCCTGTCTGAGTATTATAAACCGCTGTGCAGTGTTAAATGTATTAATCAGTTACTCAAACTGGAATCACACTGGTGCAATTTGGTCTTTTTTTCTCAACATCAAAAAACAGAGAGCAAATACACATTATTTACCTACAGACACGGCCAAAAATTGTTGCAATTACAAGTTCTTTGCTATTCTCGTGTTTATTTCTTTTGTTTGCATTGGAATAACAGGAAAAAGCAGAGGAAAAAAAAGACAAATCTGATATATTCCATACAGAACTCCAAAAATGAACTGGACAGAATTATTGATAGCTTTTCAAAATCATTAGAAATAGTTCTATTTCAAGCATGTGACATTCCTGTAATTTGTAATGAAACTCAGCTGTAGCAATCAACAAGTGCTGCCAGTATAGAAACCACACTTGCAACCAGAAAGAAAAAAGAGCAGAGAATTGTCTGAGGATTTCAGAACTAGTTGGGTCTTACAGGAGGACAATGACCCAAAGCAGACTTCAAAAAGCACCAGAAATGGTTTCAGACAATGAGCTGGAGCGTTCTGAAGTGGCCAGCAATGAGCCCAGACCTAAACCCCATAGAGCAGATGTGGAGAGATCTCAGAGCAGCAGCTGGGAGAAGGAACCCTTCAAGTCTGAGAGACCTGGAGCAGTTGGCAAACGAAGAGTGGTCCAGAACTCCACTAGAGACTTGGAAGAAACTCACTGATGGTTACAGGAAGTGACTGATTTTTTTTCTGCCTTTTTGTCTTGTTCCAATGCAAATAAAAGATATAAACATGGGAATAGCAGAGAATTTGTGATTGCAACAATTTGCTGGGAGAAGTGGTGTGTTGTCTGACAGCGATGCAGGGGTTCCAATAGTTTTGGTTGTATTTACTGAAAGCGTGAATTTCAATGAAATTAAATAGTGTATCTTATAATGTATTCACTGACTGTTTTTTAAATGTCTCCTTTAAAAACCAATGAATGCAGCCACTCAGCATGACCTTTGATTGGCTTGATCTGTTGCTTTTTTGCTCTTTGCTCTCTTTCACCTAAACAGCATCAGATAGTAAGACCAAGAATCAATAAAGTCGAGGGAGCTGAGCTGCAACACTGAGACCATGAAGTAGCATGCAACAGAATACTTTCTAGCCAAGCTCATTTCACTTCATTTAAGTAAATTTAAGCAAAGAAACTTAGCAAACGAATCTACCTGATATTTAAAATGGAACTCATGAGAAAAGGTGATAAATTACATAAACTCTATATAGAGGAATTTTTGTACCTCATTTTTATTAAATTTGGCTAAATAAATAAATAAATAAATGTGTTTTAAACGCAGTATCACAGAAAAATAACCCAACATATTTTACAAAAACTAGCACTGATAAGAGAGCCAACAAACAAACCTTTTCCTTTAATTCTTACTCTCTTAACTTCTGCTTAATGCACCTGAAGGACCAACTCACCAAGCTCTATAAAGAAATAAGAGGTTGGTTACAGCTCCTATTTTAACATCACTATGTTGTCCTGTTGGTGGCCCAGCTGTAATTCTCAAAATGAAGCTAATCCCCCTCAGTCAGAGATAAAGGATCTCACATCCCTCCTTATTACTGCATTTTTTTGGGCTGTTTGCATACACACCATGCACATAGAATTCCTTCTGTGCTCCAACAAGTCTCTCAGTCTCTTTCTTCACCCTCCTTGTGCAAAGTGCAACATTGGCTGTGACACATCGACCGGCCTCTCAGCAGGTCGGCGTCGGGCTTCAATACAGCCTTAACATAACATGTCAATTCCACAAACGTGATACACTTCCTACATTTTGTGCCCAAAGGTCACAGCTATCTCTCTGCTGTGGCACACTCAGATCAGAAGACAGCCACCTCGACGCAAACACCAACGTCTTTGTGTGCAAACATCCTGTGAGGGCCGAGCATCTGCACGTTTCATTTGATTCTGCAGCTTTAAAGGCTGGAAGTCGCACTGTTTACTACACACAGAATTAAACTCCATCTGTGTGTGAGTTTCTTTAACATCAAGGTCTTGACACTCAGGTTGTGGTCTGCTGCAGCAGACTGGGGGATTTTCCTCTCACTGATGCTCAGCATTGAACTTGAGTTAATCAGCCTGTCACTTCTTCTACTTGAATACGCACGTGACAAGTCCAGCATGTTTTGGATTTATTGAGCAAGGGAGGGCTTTCGCTCAAGGATGGGATCCATCTAGAGTGAATGCTTCAGTGACTCTGCTGACACACACAGAGACACCAAAGTGGGAAAGTCATACCACCCACCAGCTCAGAGCTGCTACATGGTGTGTGGGAGAGGCTGCTGAGGGTGTCAACTCCGCCATCAGCTCGAGGAGCTAAAAAAGTCTTTCATGCTTACTTACTTGAGTCAAATAGTGGAAACTCTTCCAGTCACTGTTTTATGGATGAAAACATGAGACCGTTGGTCTTCAGGATAAATGTTTCAACTACAAATGCATTTAGTTTTACTTTGAACAAATGAATTATGTCTGGAACTTCATGAAGATTAGAGCCTGCACATATATAGCACCAGGAAAAAAACGTGTTGCTGTAGAGTTTTCAAATGCCATTTTTCATAGCTTTGAGAACAGTTACCTCGACTGATCTCAAGGGGCAGATAGAAGCAAATATTCCAAAACCACAGGACATAAAATCTGATCTATCTGTGAGGATATACACACTTAGTTGTCCGTTGCCAGGTGCACAACTGGGAATCTAAGGCAAGAGACACACCAAGCTGGCATTAAAGAACTAGCAGCGATGTAGGCCGACTGTCTCGTTGCCTTTCTCTGGGCCAGTTGGGTGGATAAAGTGGCATTTAAACACACCATATCGACTACAGCTAATGGCCAACCAGCATGTACGTTCTGCGCCAGTGAGAGAAAAAACTCCCTCTACCAGCAGGTGGCAATATCTGTATTCACCATTCAGAAAGGGAAAGAAGAGCTAGACTGTAGAAATACAATCTGTAAACAAAACACCTCTTGCTCAAAACAGCTGCCGTTTATATCTGATTCTAATTCAGAATATGTCTGATCAGAAGCTGCAAATGACGCTGCCATTCTCTGCTCTTGGTTTTTTGATAGTGGAAGAAGAAGGAGGAGAAACTGCACTAAGTGGATGAAATCATGGATACCACAGTGAAAGGCTGAAGGGGCTTTCCCAAACCAATCTCTTCTCATGCACTGATTTGCTAAGCTGAAGAACCAGAGTGGTCTCTCTTACCAATCGAGTCCTGAGATACTTCGTACTGACAGCTGATAGATGCACACAGAAACAATAGATGACTCAAAACCCCTTTACAACCACTAAAGAAATGCTGCTGCAGTTTGTCACTACACTGCCCGTACATCCATCCATTTCCTATAACTACTTATTCCTTTTGATGAGCTTACACATTGATTGCATGTATAATTTTAACATTATTTTGCAATAAAACAAAGATGAGGCATGAGTGCTTCTTTCATGATACTATCATCTCACACAATTATTTTGTCCAGATGGTGGCTTTCTCATTTTGGAAGAAACATCTTCAGAGGCTCTGATCTCAGAATGATTACCAGGCTGGCTTCTTCTGTCGAGCCATTCTCCAGCTTTTATCTTAGACCAACATAAAATAACAACAGCAGTTTGGTCCCCCGCAGTGGCGGGCTGGTCTTAGGTCAGCATAATGCAATCCAAAGTCTTTGTTCTTTGGCTTATTATGTGTCTCATAACTGGTTTATACAACTTAGTTTTCTGGTAAAAATAATATTAACAGAAAAGCTGAGTTTAGCCTAACCCAAAAAAGCAGTGACTGAATCCAAGAGCACAATATTTTTAACTACTAGAGTAGTTTCACACAGACAGAGACTTGAATTTTTTAAATTTTGCCCCATGTGAAAGATAGGGATTTTTGCAATTTATTCGTGACATTGACCTTTGACCTTTTTTTAGCCAAAATCAGGGGGCAGCTGTGGCTCAGGAGGTAGAGCAGGTCGTTTCCTAACCGGAGGATTAGCGGTTCGATTCCCAGCTTGTCCAATCAACATGTCGAGGTGTCCTTGAGCAAGACACTGAACCCCCAGTTGCTCCCGGTGATGTCACCGGTGTGTGAGTGCTTGGGAGTGCGAATGGGTGAATGGCCGAATAATGTAAAAGCACTTTGAGTGTGCTGTAAAAGCATAGAAAGGCGCTATACAAGTATAAGACCATTTAAGGTTGGTTCTCTCTGGTGTCTGTACCAAGTCATCCAGCCGCTGGTCTGTAATCTTGCTGACCAACACACACAAATACAACTCCAATTGTTTTCATCACTGAATAATCTGATGATCATTTGTGTTTAATTGATTAACCAATATATAAAATGTCAAAAAACAGTAGGAAAATCTCCATTTCCATTTCCCAAATTTCAAGATGGCATCTTCTTATTTTGATATTCAGTTTACAGTGATGTAAAACAGAAAAAAGAAGCAAATCCTCACACTAGAGAAGCTTTTTTTTATTGTTTGTTGTTGTTGGAGTTTGAACCTTGAGTCTGCAATAAAGTTTCTATCTATCTACAACCAAAGAATGACTGGTGTCTTTGAAACTGAATGAAAGAACAGAGGAACTGTTTGCTGATAATTCTTCTGTGGATCATCTAATTGATTAATCAACAAACTGTCATCTCTAACATAGACTGGCAGACTCATAAAGAGATGCACTGAGAGAAGCATCCAGAGAAATTCTTATGAAAAAATAAAGAAGCTGTAGTTAGGGGCTTTAGGTGTCTCACTGACCAGATGCAGCAACCAGTACTCTGTCCTGCCCATCCCCTTATCTTTCTCCATCTACATCCCTCTACTATCAGTGCTACAAAAAGAAAGGAGAGGGATGCTGCTACAGGAGGGAAACTGCCACAACCAGTTCATGCACGCTTCATCCTTCCTGCACAAAATCCTCTGAAAATAAAACATGAATTTATAAATGACTAGACAACGTCAGTGATAAATACTGTGCTGCAAGCACATATTCCCACAGCTGTGCACACTGCAGTTGTATCAGAGCTCGGAGATGTCAGTGCAGTAAAGACATGTCAACACTGACCTCCATTTGGTGATCATCCAAAGGCAAACTACTGTCAACAGAAAATTCAACTGCATTCTTCTTCACTTCCCCATATGCGACATTATATTATCATTCACCTTCCGCTACTGTGTCAGAAAGGGGAAAATTACTCTTCAAAATGTGAATTTCGGGGTAAAATCAGTTCTAGTTAACTATATTGCACAATAAAACCAACGCGTCTCCACCAACTACATCCATCCATCATACTGGCCGACAATCATTCCCTGTCAAGTGTCAAATACCAGAATAAGACAGACAGTTTTACACAGTAGCTTTGTATTCTGCACACATACCAGCAGTAGACTGCGTGGCAAACTCGCAGCAGTTCGTACTCACCTACAAGAAACCGTGAGTTCAACTTTGGTGGCAGGTATGGCAGCGGTGAAAGGGTCTGCGTCCCCAATACACGCCATGTTCATTGAGCTTGAAGCTTGGTCGATCACAGGTCGCCCCGTATCCTCCGCCTTAACGTCGGCATGAGAGGAACCGAGAGAAGGAAGAAAGAACAGGAAGCCCTGCAGCAAGGTAACAGCGAGTCGTTTGTTTTCTGGAAGGGCGAAGCACCAAAGAGAGGGAACGTGGAGCAGCTGCGCGCCGGAGTCGCGTCTCTGTGCGTCTCGGTGCTCCGGAGGAGATAGCACGGTGTGAAGGGGTGGGAAGCCACACATAGCCCGCAGACACACACACACAGGCATATAGACAGTGGGAGAGGACAGTAAGGACCAAACACTTTGACCAAGACAAAAATACTGTCTCCTTTCTGGTTTACAGCTAAGGCTTTGGTCTGACTTTGGAAATTAATGTTAGATTATTTTAAGAAAATAAATCAAATCAAATGTAGGGCAAAACAGCCAAAGCTTACCAAAGTGCTCTAGAAATGTCAAGAAAAGGCAAAATCGTGGAGGTAGTAGTAAAAACACAGTACACTGAAACAGTATAGAATAACAGCATAAAATAATGAATAAGACAGTATGAAATAGTCAAATACACCTAGATGCAATAAATGCAATTACATTTATGATAAGACTGAAAACTGACTTATCCCTAATCGCATTTTTTCACACGATTCTTATAAATAAGAAGGTAAATCAGAGAAGAGAATTGATGTTCCCTCCATCGAAATATTGTGTTATTCAGAACCAACTGAGTCATTCCGTGGGTAGGAGAAAATGGATTTACATGTGTTTAACTTGAAGGTAATAAAAGCAACAGTATAATTCAATAAGTGTTCTAATATAAGAAACTATTTAAACTTTTGAATGATTGAAAATGTCTACAGCTGGCAGGTAATCAACACCAGGCAAATGTAATCATGGATTAATTAGGCAACATGTGTTATTAATATTCTGACTGTGTACCTGTGACTTGTACAACACACCACCACATTCTCCGTCCTCATGGAGTGAGCTGTTTCCTTCAGGTACAAAAGGTCAGGCAGGGTTGGAACTGGACAGCAATGAAACAGTGATGCCAATGACAAAACCACCTGAGCAAAACTGAATTAACCAGTGCAGTATGATTCTGATAGCTAATATGAAGACAGAAGTTTTATTCTGTTAGAAGAGTCATATGTTCTCTATGGGGCCATATTGGTCTGGACCAAAGCTGACAGACCAACACAGTTTGACAAAATTTTTATAGCCCTTTTTGCTTTATGATCCTCAAAATGAAGCTTGCTACCTCATCACATGCTGAGCAGAGGATTTTCCATTCTCAGACTGAGTTACTGATACTTGAATAATTTTCTTTAATGAGGTGAAACTATGAAACAAGCCTGTGAGTCTTCAGCCATGTTAGTGGTTGTACTTCAGCACAGCAGTTCTTTAAGCTAAATGCTAAAGTAAGCATGTTAACATGCTAACAAGCTGATAGAAAGTTGACAGTTTTCACCATTTGAATTTACCCTGTTGGCCTTATGATGGGACTAAGTGAAAATTAATGAAATCACCAGTTATTACAATTCATCTCGAGGGAGACAGTATCTGTACCAAATGTCATAGCAGTCCAAAGTGCAAACTACAATCTTTCTGCATGTTTTCACTCATTTCTCCGAGTTACATTCTGGATGAGGGAACTGAATATGGCTTCCACCATTTTAGTGTAGTGGCTGAAATGATGCCAAGTTACACCACAGCCCCCCTCATCTGCACCTGGACTCAGCACCTGGCAAATTGCACAACACAAAAACAACTATATGATGGCCTGAATCCCATTTTCTTCCATAACATTAGGAGGAAACGAATAAGAAATAATAAATTCCTTTTATTTTATGCTGGTTATGCTGCTCACTACAGGCGACTGTTGGTCGGTTGTATCATGGGATCCTTCCTGTTTAAAACTCTTATCCAGATAAAACACAGAGAAAATAGTCATAGAGGTTGGAAGCACCTTGCTTGTGAAAATTAAAATATCTGCAGCTCTTGCTTCAAGCCAGGAGCACTGCAAAAATCCTACTCACCTGCTAAAACTATCAGCTTCACACATTTAATGACTGTATCTCCAGTTGTTGACAAGTTCACTGTGTTCTTGATCAAGTCTGCTGGGTTTTTAATAAACTAAAGTGAATAATCAGCAGCATATATTATAAAAACTTAATTTCCCTGATCCCATGACTTTTCCTCTAGTGCCTCCAGGAGGCTAACGTTTGGGGCTTTGAGTGAAATGGATGGATTGTGGTGAAATGTGGCATTTGATCTAGTGCCATAATCAGGTCATTCAAAATTTAATTTGTATAATAATTTGGTTTATGAAGAACCCAACTAATGACATTGCTGACAGTGTGAGCTGTATTTTGTGTTTGGGGCAAATTAGCAAATGTTAGCATGCTAAATTAAGATGCTGAACATGGTAAGAATTGCCTGCTAAACATCATATTAGCATTGTTATATATAATTTTATTTAATCAGCAAAGGGCCTCGCTGAGATTAGAAATCATATGAGTATTTTCTGTATGACTGAAAATGTTAGCATTTAGCTAAAAACACTGCTGTGGCTGAGTCCAGCCTTATGGTGCAGCTAGCATGGCTGTAGCTTCTCTTTTAGGCGGGTTTCATTTCTAATGGGAGTGATGACACTGGGTTAGGTCTGTATGATGGATCTAATTCATTCAGCTCCTCTTCAGTACAAGTGTAATATTAGCTTCATATAACAGCTGAGGGAGTTTGATCATTTGTAATAAAAAAAAGGGATTTTGGAGCCTTGTCAGACTCCTTGGAGTAGTTCCCTGACAAATTAGCTTTATTACTGGGGAATATTTTCATCATCTTTTATTTTCTCAAGGGTAATTTTTTCTAATAATTCCTCTGCTGTAAAAGCATTAATAATTTCAGCGTTGAGACAATTTTAAACAATCCTTTAAAACTTTATTAATCTCTGTGGGGATTGGAAAAATATCAGTTTTTAATAATCATTTTTTAATATTGCATTTGAAGAAAGAGTTGAGCGAACAGTTGGAGTTTCCCCAAAATATGTGTATAATATGGATTTAATCCATGAAATTGTGAAATACTGTAGCTATATGTTTTAACCACTTTAAACTCATATTTCCCTCAATTACCCCCTGAATTACAAATAAATGGCACAGTGGGACAATGCATATATAGCCTAGAGCTCCAGAGATAAGACAGCTAATCTACAGTATATGACAGTTTGACAATCACTTCAGTTATGGTTCTCAGCTTTCCAAGTGTGAGAATTTGCTACCTTCTCTAGTCTTACATTACAGCAAAAATAATATGTTTGGCTTTTGCACTGTTGGTTGGAAAAAACATGACATCTAAAGGCATTGCTTTTTTAAACTGATTTTTGATGTTTTATAGAAAAACAACCATCAATGAGTGATGAAAATAACTGTTAGCTGAAGCTGTAAAATGTACAATGCACAGTATTTTGACACATTTGCAACTAATCAAAAATATTTTAATACATATTTCCTCAAATTTTAGTTTTATATCTGCAATCTTTACCTGATTTTAAAATAAAGTTCTGTAGGTTCATCAATGCTCAGCTGCACAGGACTTTGAAATAACAGATCCATCAGTGGGTCAGAAATGGTTAAAGAAGAAATCTATACATCTGCAACATCAAGACTCCTGCATGCCTCTAAATGGCAAATTAACGAAAGAGGAGACTGAGGAGACAGTAATTAGAAGCAGTCAGAGCTGCTACTCACACTGATAATTTGACATCTATTTGTGGCACTGAGGCATACAGTAAATATAATGCAATTCTGTCTAGTACAGATATATTGGCACCTCACAATATTGTCATTTTTCATAAGTTAGCTTTTTTCACAACAAAACAAAATGGCTTTCAAACCCAAAATGTTGATTTTAGCATATTCTTAGTGCTGATTAACAGGATTTTCTGAACAAGCATAGCCACGTTAATGAAACACTTCATTCACCACTGATGTCATCGACTTACATATTTTAGACTATATACATCTTTTGTTAAAAAGTCACATGTGGGCCTCCTCTTTGTCCCTCCTTTGAGTCATGTTGTGACACAGCATATAATTCAAAAGGATCTTTCAAATCATCTTTATGGTGAGACAGGTCAAACTCTCTAAGGAGCAGAGACCTGCTTAGCTCGAGTAACAATGTGCACATACCTACGTTTTGTGAAACAGCTGGTTGTGCTGCTTTTAAATGAGAATTAATGGGCCTACAGTACATCAAAGAAAAACGCTACAGACCAGTGAACACGCCTGATGTTTGTGGAAACTGTCGGCAAGAGTAGCAGTAATGGGGATGGCTTTGTTAAACAAGAAGTAACTGAAGTGATTTAAAAACCTGGGATTCAGAGTTGGTGTCTGAGGAGTTCTGGACAAGTACTGTTGAGTCTGCTGGTGATGTTCTGGGCACTGTAACGTTCACATCAGGTGGCCGGTGATTGTGCTGCCTGTCAGACAGTCCTGCAGATTTATGACAGCAGACCCTGACGGCCTCCTGAGTGGTTCATTAGGCAAGTGAACAAAGTCAGTATGACTGGATTGTGACAGCATACACTGCACCAAGTTAAAACAAAGTCAGTCTAATCCAACAGTCGTGAAATAAATCTTCCTTTGTGAAGGCGATAATTTTTAGCAGATGTTGATTTAACTGTATGTTCATTTTGGAGGCTGGAGGAACTAAATGTACACAGACAAGGGGGCATGAATGAGCAACATCAATGAATAGGGATAAAATAATAACCACTGGAGTAACAATAAAGCTTAATGTTGTTTTAATAAATGAAACTACAATAAAGCAAGAGGTTTTGTGTACAGTAACTTAAGTTTGATATGTTGCACTCCTCACAGCAAGTTGCCTGTAATACTGACAGTAAGTCTAGATTTCCAAATAGGCAAAGCCTCCAGGTTCCAGACTGTCAGGGGACCCCACAGCTTCACGTTCATTATTTCTGTTGGCTTGTATGACTGTTATTGCAGATTTGTTGGGAGAATACGACACTAGTGCAGATTGTATATGATGAGGCTTTGTCATGTACAGGAAGGTGCTGCTGCTGCCGCCACCCTGTGGCAAGTTTTCACCACTTCAGGAGAAAGTGAAAGAAAACTCTGGATGAAATCCATCCGTCTGTTATCCATTATCTACACCGCTTATTCCTGAATAGCGTCACAGGGGGGCTGGAGCCCAGCTGGCATTGGGTGAGAGGAAGGGTCCACCCTGGACAGGTCACCAGTCTATCACAACACTGACACTTAGAGACAGACAACCACACTCACTTCTAGGGCCAATTTAGAGTCGCCAATCAACCTAAGCTGCTTGTCTTTGGACTGTGGGAAGAAGCCGAAGTACCTGGAGAGAACCCACGCAGGCACAGGGAGAACATGGAGACTCAAACCCAGAACCTTTTTACTGTGAAGCAACAACCCCAACTATAATTTTTTATATTTTACAGTGTGTACCTTATAAAACAATTTAGGCTATAAAATCCCTGAGAACAGTAACATAGTACCTCTTGGATTGATACAACCTGTATCTGCTGCCTTCAAAACCCAGTAACAACAACTGAAATCTGGCAGACCTTTCCCAAACATGAGAAATGGATCACCTGCACTATGAACAGCATCGATGCTATAAAATCTGGTTAAATTTAGGGGCAAATATGGACATAAAGACAGTCAGCCAAAGACATGTGTCCCCCCCCCCCTTTGATCCCATGGTTTATTTTCTCATCTATTGTAAAATACTACATGTAGAAGCATTTGTTGTGTGTAAACAAATGAAAAACTGTGGTAAATGATTGGTGTTATGATTTAGTTATATAGTAATTGTTGACAAATACTGTACATTAGGAGGTACTGTGCACTAAAGCAGTTATTTATTACTTAAAAAGGGAGGTTTAAAGTGTCAAAAACAACATTTAACTGTAGATATTTGTCTCAGTAACTATCCTGCAGATGTAGTAACAGCAGAATTAAGATGTTACATGAATGAGAAACCACACACAGCTGTTAGCTTTTGACAGATGACATTTATTCTCACCAGGCATCTGACATTAGAATTGCTACAGAGTCCACCATTTGGGAATGGCTTCCAAAACTCCAAAGGGAAACGCCCAGGATCTGTGTAACAGGGACGGCATAACAAACTAAATAAAGAAAACAAAACTAACTGTAGGCCACTAAACATAGCTTGCCACCTCACTGTAGGAAGAGCTCAGTCCAAAGCTTTAATGCTGCTCGTCAGTCTTCCAGACCGCACTCAGATCTGTGGTCCCACAAAACAAACATTCAGTCAAAATGTCTTTAAATACATTGTTTACATACATTAGATATGTACTGGAATAATGCCTACAGACATAAGTGACAGCACACAATCATAACAGACAGATCGGTTACATCAAGGGGACAGCGCCACCAGGAACACGTCAGCTGACGTGGTCAGGCTCACAACATGAGCAGAGTCTGAAGGCCTCTCAAAAAACAAACAAACAAACAAATCATACAATTACATACATACACACCGCTACAGTACAAAGCAGTCCTCACCTACAGTCCACAACATGAAGCCCTCTGACAGGGTCGAAGACAGTGAGCAGAGGATTTTAGCAGCATGGGAGTTAGACGACAGCTCGGTAGTGTAGCTTCAGTGAGTGTTAACAACAACGTGTGAAGAGTCAGACCATTTTACATGTTATGAAACATGGACTACATGTGCAGAATATCCTTAAACGCTGAACCTGTTCACATCTAACAAGGAATAAGTGTACATCAAAGAATAACTGTCAGTTTCTTTACAAGTGCTTTGGAGTTAAAGGAATAGTTTGACATCTTGGGAGTTGAATTAAGTGCCTTTCCTAAAATTACACTTACTTTCTTCCTACCAGGCAGCTAGATGAGAGGATCAATACCACCCCCGTGTGTAAGCAAACAAGCTTATTTCCCAAAATGTTGAACTGTTGCTTTACCGTTACTGTCAAGTTTGTTCTGCTCACGAGTGCAGCACAGGACAGCAAAGCCAAGTTGTGCTGCTCTTAAACAGCTGTAGAAATCAAGGAGAGAGGAGCAAAGCACAGAAGCAGGAGAGGGAGGGAGTTGTCCTTCTCACACATACAGTAGTAAAACCACTTTTGATATTTGGGGCAGAGAAGAAGTGAAGAGTGTGGAGAAACAATCCCAAGAAATCAGACACCTGGGCTGTGAAGACCAGCTACCAACCCGCTAGCTCTACCACCTTTTTCTCCTTGGATGCTTAACTTCGTGTCTATTTTACACTAATCTAAC